ARRMMAWYAAAAAAACTGGGTCACAGATACAGGCCAAAATTCAAAACAAAACAATTGGTCAGCGAATATGCATAAACAAACTGCAGAAAGCAGTACTAGCTATAATAACAAAACAATTTTTTGTAAATATTGTAAGAAACCAGGTCATGAAATTGGAGTATGCAGAAAATTAAAATACAATAATGAGAAAAAAGCAAGTCAAGGAAGTTTTAATGTAGAGCCATCAACTTCGGGAAACGAAACAGGGTCGATTCAGAACGGCGAACGATCGGTCCAGGAAATCAAAGCAACAGCCGTAACATTTTTAGATCATTCAAATTAAAGGCTCAACTTTTTAAAGATCATGATGTTTTATGTCAATCTACAGAATTTGTTAATCAATACTCAAAGTTTTTGGTTGACACAGGTAGCGAAATAAATATAATTAAATTATTATCACTTAAGGACAATGTAAGAGTTAACGAAAAAATTATATATCGATTAAAAGGTATCAACGAATTTTTCGTTAACACAATCGGTTCRACAAGTTTAACATTGTATTTTGGAAAAGAAAAAAGACAAGTAAGATTTCAAGTCGTAAGTAATAATTTTCCAATACCCCATGATGGAATCTTGGGTAAAGAATTTTTGGAAGACAATAAAATAGCAATTGACTATGCAAAAAAGGAGATAACGTCAACAGTGACTGAAGGCGACTCCACAGTATTAAATCAAAACATTCAAAATATAAACAATGACGACATTGCAATAATACCACCAAGATGTGAARTGGTAGTTCCAATACAAATTACGGACGATCGAATAAAAGAAAGTGATTCATTAATTATTTATTCACAAGCAGTACAAGATCTAGTTCAATGTGGAAATGTTATAACTACAGTGAAGGATCGACAAATATTAGTAAAAATTGTAAATCAAAATRAAAATTCGATCAAATTACAGGCGGTGGATTTGAACAATCTATTGTACGAGCAGTGGGAAGAAACAAGTTTAAAAGTGTGTACTAAATTACCAGAAGTTCAAAAAAAAGGAGATCGCTTACAGTTATTGGAAAAATCTTTAAGATTGCAGCATCTAAACAAGGAAGAATATCGATCATTAAAGGATATATTTACAGAATATTCTGACGTTTTTTTATTAGAAGGTGGTAAATTAGAGGGAACAGCAGCAATACAACATAGAATTAAAACTTCATCCGATATTCAACCAGTTTATATTAAACCATATAGACTACCGCAAAGTCACAAACAAGAAATATYGATGCAGGTAGATCAGATGGAAAAGGATGGAATTATTACGAAAAGTACTTCACCATGGAACGCCYCATTAATAGTAATACCAAAGAAAACGGATGGTTCGGGAAAGCAAAAGTTTCGAATCTGTGTGGATTACAGGAAATTGAATAGTATTACAATTGGAGATGTATTTCCGATTCCAAATATAAACGATATTTTAGATCAGTTAGGCAATTCTAAATATTATACAACTTTAGATTTAGCTAGTGGATACCACCAGGTGTCAGTACATAAAGATGATAGGGCGAAAACATCATTTTCCACGGATAAAGGTCATTATGAATTTTTTAAGATGCCTTTTGGATTAAAAGGAGCACCAAGTACTTTTCAGAGATTAATGAACATGGTGTTGTTGGGAATAAATGGTATAAAAGCATTCGTTTATATAGATGATGTAATCATATATGCATATGATTTGAAAGATCATAGTGAAAAATTAAAAGAAATCTTTCAAAGGTTTAGGGATTATAATTTAAAAGTACAACCTATGAAGTGTGAATTTCTGCGTCACGAAGTTATATATTTAGGCCATATAATCACAGAACAAGGTTTGAAACCAGATCCGTCAAAATTTTTGAGTGTGAAGAATTTCCCAGTACCAAATAGCCAGAAACAGTTGAAAAGTTTCTTGGGACTGTCCGGTTATTACCGTAGGTTTATAAGAGATTATGGTAAAATTGCAAAACCATTGACTGCATTATTKAAAGATGACATACCGTATGATTGGACAAATACATGTCAACAAGCATTTGAAACATTAAAAAATGCATTAATAAGTGAACCTATTCTTAGTTATCCTAATTTTGAGAAACCGTTTAATGTGACATGCGATGCGAGTAACTTAGCAATTGGAACGGTTCTATCTCAAGGTCTAATAGGGCAAGATTTACCAATTGTTTATTCATCAAGAGTACTAAACAAAGCGGAACAGAATTACTGTACTACAGAAAAAGAATTATTAGCCATTGTATGGAGTTTAAAACAGTTAAGACCTTATTTRCTAAGGAGGAAATTTTATATAGTAACGGATCATCAGCCGCTAAGATGGTTGGTTAATCACAAGAATCCAGGATYGCGACTAATGCATTGGAGACTAGCAATGGAGGAGTATGAGTATGAGATTACCAGGAATATTGAATACGAATGCTGACGCCCTCAGTAGAATACCTCAAATTATGCAGATTGAAGGAGAACAATTAGTAATAAGTAATAAAACATATAATGAATACATGGATTATGTAAAGACAAATTTAGTTCAAAATTTAAATATTATGGAAGTAGCTGGAAATATTTTYGAAGATGATCAGGCAAGTCTCGTACATCATATATCACAGGAATTAACTTTGAAAGAGGGTTTGTCACTTGAATTCCGACTTCGATTTGGGAATCTAGAAAATAATCAAAATAAAGAAATTACAGATTTATTGTATCTAAAAGAAGGTAACCGTTACATAATATATATGGTACTATCAGAGAAAGAAAAAAGTCAAATTACTTATGGAAACGTGTATCATTGTTTGCAAAATTTGAGAATATTTTGTTTAAACAATCAAATAACAGATTTAGCTTTATCAAAAACAGGCGATCAAATTTTCCAACTAGATTGGGCAACAGTAAGAATAATGTTAAGATATCTATTTAAAGGTACCAAGATAAAACTTWGAATATTTACACCAAATGAACTTACGGATAAGGAAAAAAATATTATTATTAGGGAAATGCATGAGAATCCTTTGGCAGGACACAGAGGAATTACGAACACTATAAAAAAAATTTAAAAAGTATATAATTGGCCAGGGATGTTGAAGGAAGTAACAGATTTTGTTAAAAAATGTCAGTCATGTCAAAAGAATAAAACGTCAAACAAACATACAAAACAACCAATGGTTATCACTTCAACAGCAGATAAGCCATTTCAGAAAATATTTATGGACATAGTAGGACCACTTCCCACTACACATAAGGGAAATAAATATGTACTTACAATGCAAGATGACTTAACGAAATTTAGTATTGCAACATCTATGGTATGCCATGAAGCTAATACTGTAGCGCATAATTTTGTAACGTCATTTGTTTGTATACATGGAATTCTAGAATCCATAGTATCCAATCAAGGAACGGAATTTTTAAGTAAAATCTTTTTGGAAGTATGTAAACTATTGAAAATTBCCAAGTTTAACACRACGCCATATAGACCACAAAGTAATGGAGCATTAGAACGAAGCCATTCAACATTAGGAAACTATTTACGTCATTATGTCGACAAAAATCTAGCAAATTGGGACGAATTTATTCCATATGCAATGTATGTATATAATACAACTGAGCATGAAACAACAAAATTCCAACCATATGAACTACTCTATGGTTTTCCAGGGAAAATACCTACATAGTTAAAAAAGAAACCAGAACCGAGATATAATTATGAAGATTATAATTTTGAAGTTAAGCAAAAATTTCAACAAATTCACGAAATTGCAAAACAACGTATAGGAAATTCTAAAGAAAATACAAAATCACGTTATGATAATAAAGTTAATCCACTGGAGTTAAAAATAAATGATAAGGTTTGGCTTATGGAAAAACAACAAAAAAATAAGTTAGCACAAAAATGGCTAGGACCATACACTATAGCAGAAATTAACAGTAGTGAGAATGTAATAATTATTAGAGGAGGAAAATTAATTAAAGTACATAAAAATCTACTGAAATTATGAAATCAGTAAAGTAAAGACAAAATATTTATCAATGACAAATTGTGATTACAGGTTATTAAGCATACAACCTGGCATGTCAACAAATGTATCAGAAAAATATCATATACAAAACATTTAATCACCATCAGGAATTTTTTTTAACTATTTAACAAGGATAAAAACAACAAATACAAAATGGAAACTGTCAGTTTATGTAAATTTGACCACTTATGATGATAACTTTGAACAAATAAAAAAATTTCAGAAAGAAACGTTAATGCATTGTGTAAAAATTGCTAGAAATACAGAAATAGTTCCATTAGAACATGTACTAATCTGGTCGTATCTATGTGAACAGTTTAATACAACAACAACGTCATATATTCATGATATAGAGAAAATGAGACAACAARTAAAMTATGCRATCAACAAAAGTGAACGTCAGAAAAGAGGATTGTTAAACGGAATCGGTAGATTGTCAAAAACATTATTTGGAATATGTTCAGATGAGGATTATGAATTTTTTGATAAAAAAATTGGGGTACTACATGAAATACAAATTGGAATTATTCATGATATGCAACAGCAAACACGAATAGTACAATCAACAGTACATAATTTGGACACAGAAATGGATAAAATACAACAAAGTGAAACGTTGCTAATACAAAATATAAATAAATTGGAGAGCAAGGCAAATAGAACAGAAAAAAGAATAAATTAAATGGAAATTAGACAAATAATGAGTGAGAAAACTGTGGCAATAAATGTTCTTTTAACGCAGCATTCGTTTCAAACGCATAACTTAATAGCAATCATAAATACAGCGCAATTAGGGCATATGCATTCGAGCATTATTTCTCCAAAAGATTTTGTAGCAGAGTTGCAACAGGTTAGAATACAATTGGACACAAAMGAGAATTTTGCAGAACAAGTGACATTACAGAATATTAATAAATTAATGCAAATGAGTACCTTACAAGTGTTGAGAGTAATGGATACATTAGTTTTTATAATATCCATCCCGATCGTCACCACTAGAGAATATCGACTATATGAAGCAATTCCATTACCTGTAAGACAAAATAATTCAGTATACGCATTAATTCAGCCAAAAAATAAATACTTAGCCCTAAAACTAACTGATAACTTATTTAGTTCGTGTTTGTTATTTTAAATATATACTTGAGTTCAAAACTCTACGAGTACGAGGCTACGGTCAACCGACTTGTAACAACACTATACTAGCCTTTCTTAATCGCCATAACATAGATATCGCTTGTATTACAGAAACACATTAATCAAAATTAAATTCCCTGGTTACACAATACACCTCGCAGACCACGTTACACAATCATGAACAATGCCACAATGAGTGGAGTTGCTATTATTTCGATGCAACTATGTATAATGTATATGAACCGCAATGCCTCAAAAAGTAGACTTACACAAAACGCTGTGCCTACAAATTATTCAATTGGTAATTACATTAAATAAATTACTTAGCTATATAGCCTATAATATTATATATACCATAGTACCAACTACCAGTGGCGTCATTTAAGTTTTTATTAGACTAGGGCAACCACTCACTGATTTGCCGACTCAAAATTTTTTCACACAGATTCACATATGTTATGGACGCGCACTTAGCGATTCCACACAAATAAAATAACACGAGTTTAAATTACTTTGGCTCAAAATAATATTCTTTATTTGATTGTAATACGTTTAATTATATGAAAACACTCTGCAATGGTCTGTAATGGTCTGTCGTAACACCAACACTCAAACACTGACTGCTACGTGTGCGAGTCTCCGCATACGAGCTGGTCGCCCGTTCCCAAGGGTTTATTCAGCAGATTCCTTAGACCAGTCGTATGGAGAAGGAGTACTACTCGCCTGTTGTCACACACGTATCAGTTTACAATATAAATAATAATAATAATAATAATGTTACAACAGTATTCAGTGGTTCTTAACACATAGAATAAAATCCATAGTACGTGAGGGGGGAGGGGGTAAATTTTCAGCTATTTTAACATCACATACCAGATTTTAAAGTATTATAATGTTATGGTCTCACCGGGTTGATCCGCCGAAACCAGGTATCGTTGAGTTCGTCAATTCGGAAGTCTTTCGACAAGGAAGATGAGATGTGATAATACACTGATAGGTTTAGTTATTTAAGTAAAATAATTTATTGAAGACAAAAATTACTACACACTATGTTTAACTGACGCAGACATACATAGACTGACTCGCCCATACGGGACGGTATTCCATTGTACGTATCTCTAATGTCAAGTCAGCGTTCTTTCCCCACATTACAAATTGTTCATATGATATAATATTATAATGCTAAACTATATAATAATAATAATAATAATAAGCGGGGCTCATAACAATAATAATAAACATTTTTGTGACATATTTAATAGAATGACGAATAGTACAATTATTGAGAAATGTGATAATAAATAGGTTATAGCATTAATTATAATAAAATAAAATATAAAAATAATACTAATACATTTTTTAATAATTTATTTTATAATGAATGGTTATAGGTTAAAAATATTTACTGTCATAGTTAAATACTCAACACCATAATAAAATACGCCTATTTTRGCATTCTCRACATCTTAATTAATAATATAATAAAAAATTTCATTAAAAAATACAAAAAAAAAACAAATTTATTTTTAGATTCTGAACGGTGTGATGAATGTATTGATTATACAATGATGTGTGTTTTTTTTTGTGTCTGTGTACAGCATAGTGCATAGGGATCCCAGATTTATATTTTTAAAATACGGGACATTTTTTTTAAAATCATATCTATATACTTCAATACTTGTCATTTGCATTTGCATTGGTGTTAATTTGGGGAGGTGGAGAGGGAACTTATGTTAGCAATTAACATATTTTACATATTAAATTTGAGCCATTTGGCCTAGAAGTAACRTTTAATTTTACTCAGTAATATACTATAAAATATAAAGTTAAACACAATATTAAAYAGTAGAAACAAATATAAATTATAATTACTATTAAAAACAAATATTATGGTGACTTTCCTATAATACAATTTAAAAAAAGAATTGAACTGAAACAAAAATTATTAATTTATAACAAAATATATCAAGGTGACTTTTTTATGATAAATGTATAATAAAAAATAAATTAAAAGTTAAATAAAAATTTTAATAATGTAGGAAAATTTAGTTTTACTTATTTGT